AACCCTGGGAAATATCGCGCTAAATCGTCGATCGAGAGACACCTGAGGGACCGTATCGAGGAGTTCCCGTTGTTTATCCGCACTAGCTTCGCTGCCGACGCGGACAGAGCCATCGGGCTTCTTTACCAGGTCTTTATCAAGGGACGGAGTACTTGGCTGAAGATGCAGGATCGCCTGGCCGCGGCGGTGGGATCCTCAGTCCGTCGCTCAAAACGCCACCGCTCTGGACGGAGGCAGCGTCACCACGAGTCAGAGTCTAACAGTAACGAGTTCTCCAGCAGTGACGAGAGATCTCGATCTCCAATATCTGACAGGCGTAAGCGTTCCCGGCGCCACCGCACCCGCCGCGACCAGGAGAGGCGCGCCATTAGCCCTGACGGCCAGAGTCCAACATCCGATCTCGCCGACCATGACTGCCGCGTGCATTCCGATGGCGATATCTCTATGGGCGGATCAGCTGAAACGCCTCACCGATCTTCTTTGGCCCGTGCTGCACCCTCTTCTGCTGTCCTATCTCATACCTCTACTGGATCGTACATCCCGTCTATCGACATTTACGTCTGCCGTAAAGGGAACCCTACCATTATCGGGGAGACGGTACCTATTCTTTTACTCCGCGATAACATTTAGCTCGCACCCAGTCAGCCGATTCGGCCCATTCACGTCGCGTACGAGCGATAGTTGCAGTTCCTTCAGAACGAATGTCACTTCCGCCCGGAATATAAGACAATATGTCCACTGGACCCGAATGGGAGCCCGATGAGACCGGTCTCCTCTCTCCATCGCCTGCAGTTTGTACTTCTGAAGGCTACGGGGGCCGTCCAGGTCTTCAAGATCCGGCCCGAGATCTCTCTAGACCCTTTCGAAAGCTCTTTGCCACGGATGGACCCCTCCGCCCCTAGATCAGACGATTCCCTACCCCGTTCTAATTCGAATACCGGGCGCCGCGGAGAAGATTCCCTCTCCCTACCTCCTTGCTCTGATAGGCGGGCTAGTATGCCTGCCGGTGAGCCGCGGAGGCACAGGGATACCACTCGCTGGTAGTTAAATGACAGCCGGTTTCTGACGCCTCGGGCCTCTAGTCTTTCTGTTAGGGGCTCCGACCAGGGTTCTAGCCAAGAGATCGGCAAGGATACTGACGAGGGTACTTATTAAGATGCAGGCAAGGAGTTCTCTGTTGCCGAACCCAAGCTGTTATCTGACGAGCAGCTTCCGCACGCCACTGTTGAAGAGTCAACCAGAGAAGTGCCTAACGAACCTGCCTTTCACCCGCATCCGCAGACTCCCGTCCTGGAGATCACGACAGTTCCCAAGGCTGGGCCCGTAGTGCCCTTGGATCGCGTAGAACTGACGCCCCCGACTGTAAATCCTGCACGAACAGACAGTATTGTTTCCTTTTTGTTAGTATTTATACTATCCTTTCGTTCCTTACCTGTTTTCTAATTACGCATTGTTTCCCTCCAGAATCCCACAATGTGATTACAACCGCCAGTGACAGGGGCAGCGAGCCCGACCACAAGAGCGATAAAGATATCGCAAGCATTATTGACGACCTAGACGGCGAGAAAAAGTAGGTTAAACTCTCAGGAAGTCAGGAAATAGCACGAGCTAATGAAGGACCAGAATCTTGATATTCAACGACACGTTACGTTGCGATAACTTCGACCCGGAGGTATGGAGTATCGCGTGTTATACGTATAGAATTCCGCCGGAAGTAGGAAAGGATGCGGCAGCCAGAATTCCTATTCCGGGAATCCGTTTCCGGCGACGCCCTTACCTCTACCAAGTGTACGGTACGGTATGGATACTGTATCGAAAGGGAGATAACCTGCAGAACAGGAGTTTTCTTGCGGACGATATCGGGTTTGGCAAGGTTAGTCCTTTTCTTTCTGCGGGACTCTATATTTGCCCACTAATCACTTCTTCCGGGCAGACTCTTGTGACCTATCTGGTAATCCTGACGGCACGATGGATTGAAATTGCGCTGCAGCGAGCCCGCGACCAGCCATCCTCCCAGCCAGACTATCAAGCCTGCGGACATGATCACGATCTCCCCATTCGGTATCCCTGTCGACCGTCTGCGAAGAACCATGTCCTCTTCCAGGTCCGCAAGGGCGCGAACTACATCTTTGTCGACGCCAGCCTCATTGCGACCTGGTGCAATGAGTGGAAGTTAATCGTTGATACGAGGGACGCTCACATCCACGACATGATTTTCGTTCTAAGATACCGGGATTCCTACCGGAGTCTCCCGACATAGAAACAGTGATCGCGCAATAACGGGGCCGATCAGTTCTTCCCAAAGGATCTAACAAAGTGGAAAGATCTCCTCTACAAGACGATCGTGAGTCGCTACCGCCTCGGGACCATGAGCCTAGAGGATCGGGAGGCCTGGCGCCAGATCAGAGAAGATCCCAAACGCGATCATTGCAGCCGGTTCATCTTGCTGACGACCCCCCAGAGTTATGACAGCCGTTTTGCCAACTTCGTGAGTCGGACTCGAAGACTTCCCCCGGATCCTACAAGGAAGGCTCCGGTATGGAAAACCAGCCATCGTATTACGGTCGGCCGAACGTTTCGCGACGAGTGTCATACTACGTATGGCGAAACTACCCCTATCGTTCTTAAACTAATGGCGTTGGCAGAGTGTTGGGCTCTTGCGCACTGGTTTCTGTCCGCGACGCCCTGTACGTCGTCCCCGGCAAATCTGGCAGCATTCATGCGTCTTACTGAAACCCGGCAGTGGCGGGCTAATCCCTGTACGCGCAAGAATAACTATCAGTTGCTCCAGCAGCTTGGAAAGCAGTTCAATACCGTTTCCGCCAAGGAAAATGTGACCCAGATTGACGCTATATTGGACCGCCTCGGCACCTTCTTCCGTGCGATCAACTTTCTAAAACGGACGCAGGAATCCGTCTGGTTCGGCCGCACCTGCCTGGATTTTCCTGAGCAGATTGTACATCCTATCGACTGTCCTCTGGATGCCACTGACCGCGAGAATATCAAGCAGCTACGTGATACCCGTCTCGGCGATATCTATAGTGCCATGCACACGGTGAACCGCGGCGCCCTAAAGGTAAAGCTAAGCAGTATGACGCAAGCCATCCGTATCTGCGCGGCTTTTCCCGGTCTGCTCTGCCATGCCAAGCAGCAGGGAAAGGCCATTACGGACATTCCTACTACGGTAGAACGCATGGAGGCAGAGGACATCCTACCACACCCAGAGAACAGTTGGTTGGCCTCCCAGATTGATACGGTACTCCGTGGTTCGTCCCGCTGGGTCGCGATTCAGCAGATTATCGACGGTCTTGGTATCGAATCCGACACCGGCCAACCGCGCAAGATCGTGATTCTGTCGCAATACCCGACCGTAGCAGTGATCGTATATCTCGTCAGTTGTCCCGAACTCTCTGTCTCTGTATCAGCAATCGCTCTAACGCTATCAGGCAATCTGCAAATACTATCCCGCTCACCATCCATATCTCGGCCTGAGGAACGCTGCAGACCGGTCGTTCTGGGTAGATAAGTTCCAGGAG